TATAATTTCTAGGCTATACGAATTCATGTTTGCTATATTACTTAAATTTTATTGGTTCAATATTCATTCACTCATTTATTTAGTTATTCATTTATTTGCTTGTTCGCTTGTTCACTTGCTTGTTTGCTTGCTTCACATGATTTAATTTTTATCCAATAAGATATAAAATATATATAATCCAATAATATGAAATATTATAATGAAAGATCATTATACAATAATACATAATCATTATTATCATTTTTATATAATTTTTAATTGATTACTATAATTAGTTAATATCTTATCTATCTATATAAGAATGATAACAATATATATTAATATAGAATTACTATCAAAATGAAATTTATATCAATTTTCAATTTTATTAACAAACTAGCATTAATAAAGATGATTAATTAATTATTTAATTAGTTACTTAGTAAATTAACAAGTTATTTTTTTTTGATATAATAAATTCTGGTAAAACCAAATGTGAAAAATCTATTTCAGAACTATATTTTTTATTATATTATTTTTTTAATTATTTCTTATTATATTGAGTTCAAAATTAAAAAATACAGTTTTTTAATTAGGATCAGATTGTTTTCTCTTTTGTAAGCTCAATTTTCTAATTAAATATATTATAATTTTAATTTTTTTAATTTATATTAATTTATTTTAAATTTTTTAATTTAAAATAATTATGCTAATTTATTTTATATTATTTAATAGATATTTTTGATAAATTTATTTTAAACTTGTTAAAATAGCTCAAAATTATCCTGAAAAATATATTAGTATAATTACATATCTAATTAAAAAATTATTACAGTATAGAGAACTTTATTCTAATTTAACTATTGATAATATAAATTTAATTATAAATTCAATTAATATAATTTAAATAAATTTAACTTTAATAATATTATATAGAATTAATAATGAATTAAATTTAATTATTATATAATAAAACTTGCAAAAAAAAAACCAGTTATTATTATTAAAAATTATGAGATAATATTATTATAGTTAAAAAAAACTGAACAGCTGTTAAATTATTTGTAAGTTTTTTTTATTATTTTATATTTAAATAAATTTTTAATTCTCAAATATTAATTTAATAAATTTTTAGATTCAGACAAATAATTTAATAGCAAATATTATGCAATTTGTTTGAAATATAAAAACAATATATATTTTATCATGAGAAGATTATATTGAAAAAGCTCTCTTAAAAATCTGGTTTTATGAATCAACAAATTCTTTTTCCTCAAAAGTTAAAGCTATTAATGCATTATCAATTATCAAACTGGTTATTCAACATAATAAAGAAGCAATAATTTGTAAACAAAATACTAATAGATTATTAATAGTGATATTATAAAACTAAATTAGTACAGATATTTTAATATTACTATTAATAATATATTTAATTATTATCGTTCTGTTGTTCAACAAGAAATTGAATTATTCAATTAAAATTATTTAATTATCTTGTTATCTGACAATATAGAATTTTCATCCATGTTTTAAACTTGAAAAACAAGCTTCATGAATCTAATTTACAATATAAATATGTGACTAAGGTAGTTGTTGCCAATGTACTATTTTTCAATTATGCAATAAATTTATTTTCTGTTGAAATTACCAGCAATATTAATCAAGTTATTGAGAATTATTAACTTTTTTAACTTGATAAGTATAATTATAAAGCAGTAAAGAAAAATTTTACAGTTTTTTATATGGGCAAGAACATTCAATTATCTTTTTCTCTTGGACTTTGTCAGGCTTATGCATTATTAAATTATATCAAATATAATCATGTTGATTATAATATTTTGAATTTTGTATTTACTTGTATTATTAAAAAAAATAAATAATAATAATAATTAATAATTGAGAAAAGTAATTTTGAAGATGATAATTTTTTCTTATTCAAATAGGGTATTAAAATTAAAATGACAACAAATACTTTTTGGTGTTGGCCAAAAAAAGATGAATATAATACTACAACTTTTCTTTCTTATATATATCAAGCTGATTAATTTCAAAATTTGTCACAAAAAATAATTACAATTATTACAAAATGAAAAAAAACTGAAAATCCAGTTCATGTTGAATATTGACAAAATCAGATTGATAATGATTTTTATGCTGCAATTGCTTTAAAAATTTCAATAAAAAATGCTGAGAATAAGAATAAAGATGAACATGAAGAAGAGAAATTAGAAAAGAAAAAAATTGGTGAATTTATACAATTAAGATTTAATCAATAAAAATGAATTTAATTTATATTATTTATATTTTTGTAAAATTTTTTATTTAAATTTAATAATTATTATTTGTCAAACAACTTAAGACTGAAATAAAAAATATGAATGTTATCCAATTCTTATAAATATGCTAACTTGATAGGAGGACCAAACTTGTCTAACTAATATAGCAAGAATGCCAAAATTGAGAAGTCTGAAGCATTATCTGAACCAATATCTCAAGAAATAGATATATTTGAGAAATCTGATATTATCAAGCCAGATCCCATCAAGACAAAGTAAAAGAGAAAAACAGCTGAAATTGAACAGATCGCAAAGAATATATTTAGAACAGAATTGGGTAAGCTGGTGCAAGCCGACAACTAAAATTATAGACGCGCGTTTTTGGATTAATCATGATGTCACACATTCAATGTTAACCAAAGAATGATTAAAGTTACGTTACGAATGAAAGGATCAATATGGAAGTTCATGAAACATGTATAATTGTACAACATAAATAATCATTATTTTTTCACAACGAACCGGATTAATGTACTATTTATATTATGTGAAGTACTTATGTATATTACAAAAATTAAGACGCGTAAAAAAATTATTAATCGCGTGGAGATGTAACTGCTGAACTCTCTTCTAACAATCGAGCTGATCTAGGTAGAGAAGCATTATACAATAAACTCATTGACAACTAAAATATTATGTAACACTAATAAAAGTTCAACAAATTTGCTACGATGGAAGAATCTGATTGTTGTACTGGCACCTCAAATCTCTATGAATGTCCATTGAATCTCTTATTAGAACATTCAATCGAATAATACACCCGGCAACTTGAACCCCAACAATCCCAAATTGATCTTTATCAGGTTTACAACTTTTACGTACCCAGTACATCCCATCATTCTCTCCAAAGTTTTACTTCGTCATCTTGATCTTTTTGTTTAGTGCATGTCAAACGTGAACATTCAACATAAAGAAGCTCACAGTTTTTTTCTCCGTGCTTCATGGTAAACATAATGTCTGGCCTTCGACCACTTCGTCTCTCTCCTCTTCGATCAGCACTGGCATTGCTTTGTTTTTCGAAACTACTGATAAAAGAGGATTTGCTAAGAGGGAGATCTTACAATGTTGATCAGATGGCGGGTAAAGTTTCACTCGAGACATAAGTTCCTTCGTTTAGAGAGTTAGCAAACTCAGACCCAAATGCTGGATTTCTCCAAGTGTCGTTCCTATAGTAATACAAATTACTAGTTAATCGCTCTGACAATTTTTTTCCTGAACCGAGATTTCAGTCACATGATTTCGGATTATATACACTTACAAAGTATTCAGAATTCTTCCCGTAACAATTGCAAGTTGATTGTCTGGTTCTTTCCTCCATGCGATTTACTAATTTTCACCCAGGTTTCCTATTGGTTGAGGTTAGTATTAGGGTTAGAATGGAGGACAAGATTATATGTAAAATTGCCTTCCCGACATTTTTCATTGCCAGATTTAAGCATTCGTTTTCCGTATTTTTCTTGTATCGGATTTGTTTTGTCGGGTTGATCAAAAATCTACATCTTTATTGGTTAATCTAGAAGAACAGTGCTCAGTCAACCAATCAGCGATGGAAATTACTTGCATCCAATAGGAAACCTGGGTGAAAATTAATAAATGCCTTTCCCATGTAGCATTATGTGATGCATTTGCTCTGTATAACATGTTGAAAAGGTGGGATCATTTGTCGTGCTGGTTTCATAAGTGTGCTGTAACGGTCCAGGTAAATCTAGGGGATTCTTCCATGATAAATCTTCGATAGAAGTATTGTGTACACCAAAATATAAATGTTGATAGAGGTGATGTATTTTTCTTGAGTTTTCCTTTCAACTCATTGATATTCCTTCGGATTTGATTTGGTGTAAAAGAATCTTTAGTATTCGTTTTTACTGCTCCGATATCACGTAAACTACAAATTAGTTTATAAGAAATTTTGAACTGTATATTCATTCAAAACTATCTTGTCGATAGAATTGTAAACTCAACGCTTGTGCCATCAGAATATAGACAAAGCACTATTTTTGTGTGGCCACCACGCAGATAAAACCTTGTGTGATATTAGATAACATAAAAACAAACATAGGTCTACAGCCTAAACATCCCTCACGCATCGAGGAAAAACCTGTAGGCGGACTATGGAGTGTTCAAACTTTTATATTTGTTTTCTTAGAGTGGTTTATTTTTCGGAATCTACCAGGGCGACCACCAAAAGTTCGGGCCACGTGATAATTCTTTGATGACGTCATTATGCGAAGGGGTTAGGGTTTGGATCTGAATTTTTGTGTTACACGTTGATCTTGCAATTTAATTGGTCATCATCGCTGACATCATCAAAAAACTATCACGTGGCCCGAACTTCTATTTTTCGCATCAGATCAATATGTGCGACAATCGATTTCTAATTTTTTACTATATACTATCCTATGGTAAACAACCTATATACGGAAATTGCTCGCCTCAATTTCACTGAACCCTATACTCATACTTCATTCAAAATACTGATAAGAAAGCTGAGACGGAGTTAGTCTTTACTCACCTTGATAGCCGTTGTTTCGTTCTCTCTTGCGACGCGACCTGGCTTGATTTTGATAACCGTGTTTCATTTTTCGTCTGCGCTTTGCCATATAATTATTAATACTCCGAACCTATACTGATTTTTCTCAATTTGTTTCTTAACTTTTCCACTAGACAAAAAGAAAAAGGAGGATGCAAAAAGTTGGCTTCATAGATGTTTGTAAAGTCCATTTAACGCTCTATCAGGAATATCTGAGCTGACTATTTTTTTGTGTAGGGCCTCGCACTTTCGCGCCTTCCAACAGGACATATCAGGATATCAACTACTACATTGAACCTAAAATAGTGACTGAAAGTTTGGTAAAGTTTCTTCTTGATGGCAAGTTCTGTCTCTTATACGGGCATCGCCAGAGTGGCAAGTCAACTACTGCCTATGCAATAAAAAAGTGGCTTGAAGACAACACGATAAGGAAGTTTACATCATCACCTTTTCCAGCGGAATCGTGGTTGATAAAGGACTCGAGGCATTCTGGTATTCCGTATGCACTAAGATACAATGTTTAGATGTGAACCGGTTCAACTTTGATGAGCACGCTCAGGCATAATCGTCTACGTTTGAAAGTTTCTTTTCGAAATTCAATCATCCCTCGGCAAAGGATTGTATTATCATTATAGATGAGGCTTCATATCTTAGTGGCAACAAAAAAAATATTGAGAGAATTCATCAGCTCGTTGCGAGTTTTAAAGGACGGACGTGGTCAGTTCAACGTGTTTTCTTTCTTACTTAGGTCATTAGGGAGTTCCTTCTCAGCAATCAACGACCTGATTCTGAGTCAAATATTTCGCCTTTTTCGGATGAGACAAGCATGAAATCAACCCGTTTTACTCAAGCAGAGATTGCGGAACTTCTTAATCAGTATTCTGAAGAGAATAACTTTGAATTAGATATATACCAAATCGCTGAGGATATTTATTCCCTCATTCTTGGGCACAAGGGTCTCGTTGGTCTCTGTTGCTCTTTTCTTGAGACCAAAATTATGGAAGGCAAGATCAAGTTAACGATCGATGGATGGAATGGGCGACTTTCAGACTACCTGAATTCATAAGGGGGAAGGCAACATATGAATCCATAATTCGTGCCCTCCATAGCCTATCGGAGAAACGGAAAAAAATCCTTGCGAGGGTCCTTTGCTATAGAACTGATGTAGTTTCTCGGGTGAGTACATTTACTTATTGGTGCCGTATTCGATTCATTATATTATTATTCACCTTTTTTCACTTTTTGGTAAAGGACGATCCTGATGTGAAATTCCTCCTTGCGGAAGGAATGATTGTTGTTAAAAGAAAGCTGGGTAGTGAGGACGTATTAATCCAGTGTGCCGCACCTATCCTTCGTAATATCATGCTTTATCAAATAACAGGGCCTAATATCGACCTATCCAAGAGCCCCAAATCGGTTAAAGCTCAAACAATTGATGCCAAATGGATGTTGGAGCGCACTATTGAGGTAGATGATTATTCTAAATTGATTTTTGTTACCAATGAAACAATGTGCATACATTCAGTCTACTAGATGCTTCTTTTCATAAAGAACCTATCCATCCAGCATATTTTCACTGATAAAACTAGCAATTCTGGCGGTGAGCCGTCTGAGTGTGCATTCCAAGCCGAATTCATCACCGTTATGAAGAATCTGCTTTCAACGGCCTATCCGAAACTTCTTTACCGTGTTCTTCCTGAGGTAAAGGAGTATGATGATGATGGTAATCGTCGTCAGCGTTTGGACATTCTCATTAGGGATAGCATGTGGATGGAAACTTATGGCTTTGAGCTCGTTGTCGAAGCAAGCCGGAAGACCTTCAACGATCACTGCACACGCTCCAAAAAATATGCTGATCTTCATAATTGCTCCATGCATTTGGTGAACCTTTGTACCAATAAAACGCTTATTAACTACTTTGGGCCAGATTATGAAAATAAATCTGATAATCTTAAAGAAGTGATATATATTATATAATTATTAGAGAAAAGAGAGAGAATCTCAAAAATCTCATTTTTCTTATAATAAAAAATAATTAGTTAATTAAATATAATAAAAATCTCATCTGAAAAAAGAGAAAAAGAGAAAAAGTAAATTATTTTTATAATAACTTGATATTATATAATATATATTACTTTTCATATAATTATAGAGTTAACTAATTATTATAAACTTTTATGAACTATTTATAAGAAATGTATTATCACGATTGAACTTCTCTTAATATATTATGACTATTTGACCAATATTTTATTGATAACATTTTACATTTACTTAATCTCAATATAATTAGTGTACTTCAGGATTATCACATAATATATTTTCTTTTATTTTAATAAATAAAATAGAATATTATTATTATTAATAAATATCTTTTTTGTATTTACTTAGTATATAAATAATTTTATAGTAATATAGTACTAATATTTTATAATAACTTGATAATTATTTAATAGTGCACAATAAATACTATTATTTAATTAAAAATATTTTATATTGAATCTAATTAATTATAACTTGCTTTTTTATTATTATTATAATTCAAATATTCTATAACATAGTTATTTTATTAATATTTAATTATTTTTATTATTTTTAATAATTAAATTTATTTAATTTATTATGTTTTTATTGAACAAATTTGAAATTATGTGATTTTTATAATTTTTATATGTAATACATATCCTTGTACTATATTACTGGAAATTGAAAAAAATATAGTAAAACATAGTAAAATTGACATTATTGTTTTATATTAAAATTTGTTATTTTATTAATAAATATTTTATATTAAAATAAAGATGATAATCTATATTTTTAATATATATTTTTTTAGAATATTCTAGAAAAATATATATTAAAAATATAAGTTACCATCTTTATTTTAGTATAAAAATAAAAAATATTTATTAATAAAATAACAAATTTTAATATAAAGCAATAATGTCAATTTTATTATACTTTTTTTTAATTTCCAGTAATATAGTATAGAGATGTATTTATATTATAATAAATTATAATATTTATTTTATTATAATTATAAATAAAAATTTTAATTAAATAATATAATTACTATTAAATTTCTTTTTTGAAATTTCTTTTTGTTTTAATTAGTACTAAATTTTATAAAAAAAATACTGAAAATATTAATCAAAAAAATCAAGAAATTATCTAAAATTTTTTGAAAAAATATTAAAAATTCTATTTTTTTAAGTTTTGTTCTTTTTCTAAAAATATTCAAATATTTTTGATATTTTTAAATTAATATTTTTTATTTAAATTCTAAAAATTTATTGATTAATTCAATTTAATTATAAATTTTTTGATTTTTATAAAAAAGAATTTTATATTTTTTATTATATTTTGAATTATTTTTGGAATTAATAACTTTATAATTTTGTTTAATTTTCAATATATTTTCTAATATTTTTCTGAAAAAAATTAATAATATATATTATTTTTATTATATAATTTTATAATTTTATATATAAAATATATTTTTATACAATTTCTGATTAAAAATAAAATATATAATGTTATTAAGTTATAGAGTTTCTATTCAAAAACCAATTAAATTGCCCAATTTTTAAAAATTGAACAATTAAATTAATTCTTGAACAAAAACTTTATAACTTGATAATATATATACTTTATTCTTAAATTAAAAAAATTTATAATAACTAAATATTTTATAATTAAAATATTAAAAATAAATAATATAAATTTATTTTGTTAATATAGAATAAACTCAAAATCTTTTCTTAAAAAAATAAAAATAAAAATAAATAAGATATTATTGTATTATACTTAAAAATGCTTGCTAAATTATTTAACAAATTTTAAAATACCAAAATTCTTATTATAAATAATAATTACTATTATTAAAATAATAAAATAATATAATAATACTAAAAATAATATAATGATATTAAAATAATTATAGTAAAATTACTAAATTCCATGATTCAGTAATATAATATTAGTAATAATACTAATTAAAAGACTTTGAATATATGTATCAAAAAATTCCAAGTATTCTAGATTTTATAAAAAGTAATTATAAAATAAATATATCAAGAAACTTTAAGTATTTTATTCTAGATTGTACTAAAAAATATGAAGGAAGTACAAACTAATAAAATATTCCTTAATTTAATGAATCAAAGAATTTATTTAATTATAAAAAGTTTATAAATTGCAATTTCAATTAAAATATAAATTTTCTATTAAAAACCACTTTATGACATCCCAAATACAAAAATTTTTATAAAAATTTTGAGAATCATTTTGTGAAACTTCATATAATTTCTAATAATTCGTAGGGTGCTTGGAATATATTAGAATGCTATTGCAATTTATAGCATTCTAACATATTCCAAGTATCCTTCAAGTATTTCCGAATTTTTTGATTTTTACTAGTGAATTCTGGTCACTCAAAGTATGCAAGAATATATATATTTGATAAGTTTTATTTGATTTGCAAATTTTTTTCTTCCGGTTCTCTGGAATTGTGAAATAAATGCTGCCCATAATACCCGTCGTCTGTTCCTTTATATGAACCTAACAATGATAAATGTCCGATGATCTAGAAAGGAACCAAGATGGCATTATTACCGTTCGCCGTAGCTATCTCGGGAGTAATTCAGCTCGATGATCGCATGTCGCGTCTGTAAGGGAAGTGACAATTATTAGCTAATATACATTTTATTACAGGGACCCTCCCCTCCTGAGATTTCACTTAACACCTGAGATTTGGCCATCCTCCCTAGAATATTATTGTCACTCCCCTAAAAGTTGTGTATTCGAACACTCTTTTTGAGTACCGTAATAACAGTTGAGTGTGTGACAATGCATAAAGTGCGTCATTACAATGTCATTATTCTTTTTGTATAGTGATAGGAAAAACATCATGACGAAAATATGCACATCGGGTTTTTAATCTTGAAAATTTGTTTTCCTTCGCGTAACAGAAGAATCCACGCACATCTTGTCTTAACTCAGAATAGATTCTTGGCAAACTAATTGACAATAGGAATTTGAGTGTTTGTGAGTAATGGTCGATATTGAAAAATTCTTTGTACTCGTAATATCGCCAACCAAAGAATCGAACGAAAACGAGGAAATGATCCATCCGCGTATGTAGATTAAGCAAATTACCATTATGGTTATTGGTCAACTAAGCCACTGAAGAATCAATTGATCGAAACAGGAAAATTTTGAGTCTAATCTATTAGAATATTAGCATAACTTCGGAATTGAGCGACAAAAAATTTAACGCGTAAATGCCCTCTTCAGTTGTGTGTGGCTGACTATGATATTTCCAAGAATTATGATATTTCATTAATAATGGAAATTATTTTACGAAAATAGCCGCTTAATATTTATTAATGTATGTGCAATTAAACTGGATTAGAATACAGACGAATCTCACAAAGACCTGTTCACATTCCAAAAATTCAGAAACTCCATTTGGGAATTTGCTCGAATTGAACAATTGATTCAACTCTCGATAAAACGACCATGCAGATCATATTGTAAACAATATAAATTCAATAGAATCTGCATGGTCGTTATATCGAGAGTCGACTGTACGTATTTGTGTCGTTATTAACAAAATCATTATGATAGATACGTACATGTATGAAGAACTAAAATATCGAATATCTAATTATCATTTAAAGAAAATACGTACAGTGTATTACATGTACATGTAATAGTTTTACACCTTAAAACTTAACGATAAGCTTATAAATAATTGTATCAATAACTAAAATATTACTAATGTAAATTTTTTTTAACTTTTATGACCGCAAATTCGATGTTGATTACTATATGTGTTACATCTTTCTGCTTCGATAGAGACCGCTTCTATAAGAGCATCATAATGCTCAGGCGTAACATTCATCGAGATAGACATAAAGATCCTGACAGAGCTGAAGATTCTTGTATAAAATTTTAGCGTCTAATATAAAAAGTCAAAAAGCTTGGTTGAGATGAAATATTTCTTTAGTCTTTGCGAAATCATCTTTTTTGAAATTTACCTCTTGACCGATGCTACCACCTTTTCTACCAAAAGTAATAGATTTTTTTTCATTTCTAATTTCCGAGAAAGAATCGGTGTTTTTAAGCAGATTAGGAAGAGATTCACCCATTTGATAATTCAGACCTTTTTCTTTATATAACTTTTTGACTAAAGAATTCAATATAAATTTTAATTCAAGAATTTTTTATTTACCAAACTAACCATTACTTACTAGCGTTTGCAATACGTTGTGTAGCCTTTCCATTAGATACCATATTATTATCAGTTTCCACCATTTCAATCCATCCATCTGATTTGACTATTCGTAAAAATTCAGGAATAACTTTTTGTTCCCATTGTTTTTCTGTGAAAGATGCAGTCATGAATTTTTGGTGTGCAAAATCAAAATAGGAATCTTCGAAAGGTGAACCATCCAGAAAATTACAATTGACGAATATTAAATTTTCCGGAAGACCTTCTGTTGGAAAAATTGGCGAGAAATCGATTCCTACGAATTGAGATTTGGGATAATTTTGCGCCATATCCTAGATTTTTTTATGAAAACAAATACATTATTAACTAATAAACTTTCACAAAGCGATATTAAGAAAGCTTGTTACCACAAGCCATGTTCCAGTTCCACATCTAAAATTAGATCATAAGTATAAGTATCTCTATATAAATTACAATTGACATAAATCTAAAAAAGTACAATGAATTAACAAACTACGTACCCAACATCGAGAACTTTAGCTCCCTGTTTCAATTTCTCTTCAACCGGTGAATGGAACAACCCGCCCCACAGCTCTTTCACCGCTTATGAATCCAGAAAATAAAATAATTATTTTGTTAAGTGATAACGATAATTTACTTATTTTCTCAAAGCAAAATATAATTACTGTACATTCATGATATCGTATTAAACGATCAGCCTCTTCATCATCATTCGGACCCAGATACTCTGAATTAGAGATATTATGATATCGTCTACCATCAAGGTAACGAAACTTCGAACCATCTTCGTTTAAAATATTTCGTCTAGAACAGCAGGCGCCCATTTTTTTTAGTAGTTTCAAGAACATGTACATGAACTAAGAACCGTTTTAAGCAAATGCAATGTTTCACTATCCTGTCATGTACGTACATATATTTACCAAATTGAGACCCGCAGTAAAGCCCGGCAAAACAAATCCGAAACCGGAAAATAAAATGCCTAAACCTAACTTGGAACACTAAATCAAAAACGTCAGGGAGGAAATTTTACATGTAACGATAACATTACTTCTCACTAATCCTACTCCCTTAACGTTAACCTGTCCTGTTCATTAATTTGTTATGTGCACAAAAATAAAAATAAACGAGATACAGTTCACAAATTTTAATGTACAAAATACATGTACGTACAAGCTAATTTCATTACAGTATGTTGTAACTAAATTTTTGCAGCTCAATTTTAAACGTTCTACGTAATTATTCTCGTTTGCCTTTCCCGGTAGAATTTTAAAAGAAAATCAATTCTAAATTTAAAAATGATCTTTGATTCCTATATTTGTATGTATTTCAAAAGTGTCCCTAAATATATAACGACAACATTATAGAAACATACTTGTACATGTATTTTATAATGAATTCATGCTCATCCTCTATGAAATGTTTTCGATTGAATTTGTATGGAAATCGCAAGGATGTTCATAACACCAAAAACGTCTGGAATTACGGACTCGTTCTGGACGTTTTTACGAATCAAGCGAGAATTTTCATAGAAATTTAGCGTGTTATTTTTCAGTATAAACTAAAGGATTAATATAATAATGCAGAGTTCAAAATGGTTTAATTTTTATTTTCTTTCAAAAATAAAACAATGCATTCGTTCGACTTAATAATGTCTCATTTAGAATTATTGATATCTGTGCTGACAACTGTCTGCGGCGGCAGTGTTAGTTAATTACCAAAAAAAACACCAGAGTTTTTATTGCTATAAAAAAAATAATAAGTGTTATACCGGATTCGGCTTGTACCGTATTGATATCCTGATTTTTACAATTTTTAACTATTTAAAACTCCCTATATATACGTATACTGGACTGGCCCAAAGTGCCAATCCAATGTGGCCTTGTAAAGGACTTTGATTGTATATGGACGTATTGCTTTTGATCACATAATTACCTAATCAACTCATTTGCCATAAAGAAGACATGCAGAGTACGCAATTTATATTGGCTTTGATGTAAATTTTGTTGCATGAATTTTATTCTGAATACATGTAGAATGCAAGTTATGTGTCACAAAAACTCTATTGCATGTATTTCAATACGTGTTGTTTTCCGCGTACATCTACCCGATTTGGTTATGATAAAAAACAGCCAATATGAATGCATAAATTTTTGATCAACCCGGCAAAACAAACCGACACAAAAAAATAAAAAATGCGAGGAAAATACAAGAAACAAATGTCAATCTGGTCCGGAGTACTAATGAAAAATGTCGAGAAGACAATTTTATATATAACCTGAATTACCATCCCTAATCGTAACCCTAACCCTAATCTTAAACCTGGATTACCATCCCTAACCGTAACCGTAACCCTAACCCTAATCTTAAACCATCCTTTAACCTTAATCTTTATTACAGTAGAAATTTCCGAAAATACGCAATGCTATTGGTTATTTTTGTTATTACCAAATCGGGGGGATGTACATAGATGCATTCGTTGTTTTCCGTGACAAATATTATATAATATATTTTTATTATAGAGTACCCCCTCCCTCCCCGGTAAGATATATTAATAAAAGTCACATATATAATTAAATGATAATCCACATATTTGTACATGTATATTAAAAATCACATGCATTTATTTATATTGTTACACATACACGTAAAACTATATTCTCTTTTTATTGCATAAATTGTTATAATGAGCCAACAAACTTTTTTTTGGAGTTCCTAATATAATAACAAGTTCCCAAATACCAAATATGAAGAATTCACAAATGTGTATATATATAATTTCATAATTAAAAATAAAAATCCAATTTCAAACTGATCAATAATTTGTGATACAGCTACAAAAGAATAACAAAATATCAATATAGATAATATTGTTACCGTTTTGATGGGGCTTTCGAAATACTCAAAGGTATTTATAAAATTTAAAGAATATTCAAAGGGAAACTTCCAATGTCTTAACGACAATTCAAAGTCTAATAATACTTTATGGCTTTTAGACTGAAT